CTTTTTAGATGTTTCGAAACCTCTTGGATTCTTCTACATTCTTGGGAAGCTTTGGGGCACATGTGTAGACCCGCCGTCCTGCGACCCAGGGACTCCAAGCTCACGCACCTGCTGCAAGACTCGCTGGGCGGCAACTGCCTCACCGCCATCATCGCCACCGTGTCCCCCTCCGCCTCCGCCTTCGACGAGACCTGCTCCACGTTGCGCTTCGCGGACCGCGTCCGCAGCGTCGTCAACAACGCCGTGGTGAACGTCGACGTGGACCTGGAGGGCCTGCTGGAGGCGAGGGAGAGGGAGATCGAGAGGCTGAGGGGCGTGGTGGGCAGGCTGGTGGGGGGCGGGGGACGGGGGCAGAGTCACGAGGCGCGCGCGAGCGAGGCGTTGGATGCTGGGAGCGAAAAGGTGCTGGCGTGGCGCGTGCCCGGAATGGCCACAAGGGACGCTGCACTGTTTGGATACGAAGTGATGCGTCACTCAGTACTTTTTGCTAACTGCTGTACAATTTTCACCTAAATAGAGCTTACGGGTGGTGAGAGACCGTGTTGTCGCGGTAAAAACTGGTCCACCCAGCCAACGTTCCCTCGATCATGGGTTTGAGTCCCTGCCCCGACGTTCCATTCCTGCTGATACGACAAGTGCTCATCAGTGAATTGTTGTAAACGTTGCCCATTACGCATGTTGGGGCTGTTTTTTGCTGTTTAGGTAACAGGAGCTAACACTGAGTAGTTAGTGGTGTACTGCTAGTGAGAGCTTGTTTATTGAGTGGAAGGCATCTGTTAAGCGAACGCGAATTACACATAAACAGCAACTGCCTCGCCAGTTCTTAATGCGGCAGCAAGTAGGTCAACCACGATCTAGGTCATTTATTTATTTTTTTGCGATGACGTCCATTCGGACGGAGTATGTACAAGACCAGGCACTCTGTATTGTAGACGTTTGTTCTAAATGGCGATGAGTGTCTGTTGAAGCATAAGTGCAGTCTGCAATCGCAAGTCTCAGCAGTCCATCACACGCAGCCAACCAGCAACTAATCAACCAGGTAATTAACTCAACCGAAATGCTAATCATCAGATAATTAATTCAGTCGAAATGCTGATTAGAGTTTGCAATCAATAAGTTGAATGAATTCAATTTGTTGTGCTCAGAGCTTTTGGAATGAGAAATCCACCAACAGCTGTATGTTCAATAATCCGTTTGTCTATGAATTCAAACTAGCCATTATTTAGGTGTATCTATCCAAAGAATTGTTTTTTTGAATTTCAATATATTACTTGCTCACCTAAGCAAAGAACTCCCCCGCAAATCATAAAGCACAATGGGATCCTTTTCCAGCAGGAGCCGATGTAGGGCTCCAAACAATAGATATATCGCCTTTCGTCAAATTGAGGTTCGAGTGCTGGTGGGCGTGTCGGCAGGATTCAGGTCCTTCCACCGAGGACATCCTCCGCTGCCAGATCACCGCGCTGAAGGAAGCCCTGCGGAAGGAGCGCCACTCCCGCACGCGGCTGGAGACGCTCCTCAAAGCGAGTCGGAAAATGCAACAGGGAAACGTCAAGGCGACATGCGAATCGCCAAGGGAAGCAGAGGCTTGTCACGGCCCCTCTGGGCGGTGCAAGGGCGAAGGTCGCACATGGAATGATCGTTCGGCAATGGTGACCGAAGTGGTTTTGGGTGGAAATGCAGAAGGTGTTGCGCTACACGCAGACGGTGCGCACACGGTCAGCCAGTCGACAGCAGAGGCGATGGAGGCCGGCAAGAGCACGTCCGGGGTGACGGCCACACAGTCGGCCGGCACATCGTGCGCTGGAAGTTTTGAGCAGTGTGCGGCGCCGAGTGCCAGTCCGAACGATCGCCAATGGGCCAAATCGCGGCGCGGGCGAGAGGCGTGGTCGGAGGAGCCCTTGCCAGGCACGTCACACACGTGCAACGATGAGCCATCCTCTCGGCCAGACTCTCGAGGGGGAAGCAGGCGCCCCTCGGGGGGCGCCCGGCAGCAACTGCCACGGCCGCCGACGCCCAGCGCCCTGTCCATGTACCTTCCTGCCCACTTCCGGCCAGCTTCGTCAAAGGCGCGCCGACGGCGCAAAGGGTCCACGTCGGAGAGGCTGACGGAGGGGGCGCCGAAGGCAGGCGACGGCATCGGCACCTGCCCCGCGGCAGAGGGCACGACCCAAATCAGGCTTTGCACGGATTGCACAGGCATTGACGACCAGACGGCATCGGGCGATGCAGCGACGCCCGAAATGGACGAAGCCGGTTGGAGGGACTCGTGCGAAACAGAGGAGCCCCATGGCACGTTCCGCACGGCCTCTTCCGGTGCGCAGATCCTCACCGTGACCATACCTTGTGGGAGGCTGGAGTCTGGATCTGCTGCAAGCCACCCTGGACCCCACTTGGCAGGCAGCAGTCGCCCCGAAACGGAGTGGGCAAATCGCAGAGCGGCTGATGAACGAGCAACGGACGTTGCAAACGCCAATGCCGTGATGTCCACAGGGCAGATTTCTGTTGATAATGTTGCGCATACGCCACACAGTGAGGAGCCTGCGGGCGCAGGGCTGGCGTCGCCCGGCGCGTCTGGCACCCCTACTTTTCATTTAGGACCTAAATCTCCAGGCAGCACAGGCGCGGGGTCCTGGCGGAGTGGTGAATGGGGAAGATCGGCAATCCTAAGAATGGCCGAGAACGGCGGAACGCTCCCACGTGCTGTTCAGGGAGGGGCTTCCTCGTTTGAGCACGTGTTTAGTCATCAACACCATCAACGTGGCAACGCCGCGCTGTCCGAAGTGAGTTGCTCATGGAACGGGACGCCAATGGGATCGATCGCCTTTGGGGGGCACGTGTCGCGATCGAACAACAGTCAGGGATGGGGCAGGTCTTCAATAGTGCAGTGCAGCGGGCAGAACGGATTGCAGGGACCTCAAAATGACGCTCACCGCTGGAGGGTGCGGGCAGGTGCCCCGAGGAGAAAGGCGGATGTCACGAACAGCAAGGGGAGGCGCCTGCCAGTTGCGTATCAACTTGTCTCTGGCTTTTCTGGGGTGGCGTTGACAGACATCATGTATTCTTCAGCTGCGGGGAGTTTTGTGCCGCGAAAAGTGCAGAGGCAGCAGGGCGTCGACTGATAGGCATTTATAGATGTTAGTCCCCAATTTGCTGATCTAGGACCTAGTCGGCGCTTGGGTCAATGAGTGTGCAGATAGTGCGCGCACTAGCTTAGGCAGGCACTGCAGGCTGAAAAGGGAAATTCGTCAACTTAGGTACTAACTGACGGTAAACAGGGCAAGGGGGCCATTGCTTGAGCACCCCTCACCCGCATGTTGTGTGGGCTCCTGTACGTTCACGCAGGTTGCTCAAGCCAACACCAGTCCAGCCTCGTCACCCGCCCATGCAACCATCCATAAACAACACAGAACACTCTTCGCACAGCTGCCCATCATGACGCCGCCGTCGTTGTTGCATCCACAATACACACGGAACTGCATAGGGAACGTGTATGCACACAACTGCGTACATCACCCTCAACGGTCCATTATCTGCGTGCATTACGCAACCAGCAAGACTTTTCTTTTATATGTGCGGCTGGCCAGCAGTCCAATGTGTCAATTGAGGGCGAATCTGTCTGTAGACGGGCTTCAAGGAGCACCTTTGAACTCCTTTTCCGTTTCCCTCGTGCGCACTTCGCCACCAGACAATTCCACCTCCTAAAGACAGCCAGCAAAGCCACCCGTGTCAAAATGGGTTGCTTTAAACATTTTCAATCACAAACCATTCCTTGAGCACGGCATAGCCCTGTGAAGTATGAAAAAAATACTTGGCTAATACAGCCTGCACTGTGAATACCAAGATAATTACTGGCACCCAGCAATGAGCGATTACAAGCAAATGCTTCCTACTTGAACTTGTGTAACGATTTTGAAGCATGTCCAAGCATGTGCTGCAAAACGAGTTCCTACGATGCTGTTCAATAAGCGATGTGATGAACCAAACCCAAGAGGAAAAACAAGCAGGCAGCAACCTTCCTGCAGTCACCCAGTTCTGCGCATATCTCCATGCTTGGTTGCATGAGTCAAACTGACCAATGTACGACCAACGTACTGGGCACTGGCCTGTTCATGACATATTGGCAACTGCAGGCATTACTATAGCATGCAGTCGTTAGACGCTTGCCTGGAAAGGTGCTCTGCAACAGCCCAAATCAAGCACCCTGCTGTGCACAGCGGATGCAACAGGAAAGCATCAAGCAGCCATTGTTCTACCATCTTTGTGCCCCACACATGGGTGGCCCTCACGTGATCATGATACATTCTGATGGGTCTTGTATTTCGGGTACTGTACCAACTGTAACATGCACATCTTTATCAGAACATCCATATGTAGGAAATCTTCTTCTTCTTTGTGGCCCATGAGGCCGTTTTCCTCACCTGAATATCCACACCCAGCTTCTTTCCAAACTTGTCCACCACGAATCGGTCCGCAGGGTCCGCCAGGGACAGCACCCACCCCTCACGCCCCATCCTGCCCGTTCGACCAGCCCGGTGGACGTAGTGCGACACATCTGTTGGGAGCTCTAGGTTGATCACACCATCACAGTTCGGCAGGTCAACACCCCGGGCAGCCACGTCGCTCACCACCAGCACGCGCAGGCGGCCGCGTTTGAAGTCCTCGATCGTCTTCTGCCGGAGCACCTTCGACTGGCTGCCATGCAGCAAGGACACCTGCAGCCATTGCTTTTGACTATGCCTTCCCTCACGAGATAAAATCAGTGACTGCAATTAGTCTGACAACTCTGCAAACAGATTGTTTGGAAAAGAGATACAATGCAGACCAATATTTAAAGGCCAAACAGGCCTTCCTGTCCGAAAAACCTAGTGCCAGTACAAAGCAGGCAACTTGATCCTGGATGGGGTCGACAGGTGCACACAAAGCCAGAACACTTGCTTGCTTCCTGTTGATTCAATCCCTGGCATTCCATTGCAGGAGACCACAGTGGAACTGTTCCCCTTGGAATTTTAGCATTCAAGTTCCTGCCCAGGAGAGGAGAGGGACATACTGCGCGACATATGTTCCTTCCATCGAAAAGCCACTTGCACCACAGTGCCAGCTGAAACAAAGAAAGCTATATTAAAAAGCCTTCCTAATTAAGAGGGGGCCAACTGTATGGCATGCATCTGTTTGCTGAAAGGGCAACATCAACGGCGATGAAACTGCTGTTGTCGACACAGTTGGCTCTGTGCCTGGCAATTTACAGCTTCAACTGGGCTGCTGGTACACAGAAACTGGTTGCAGCATCAGAAGGATCCAAACACGAGCAAGAGGTGGCCACACCTCCATGCCCCTTGCTGACAGTTTGAACACAGTATCTTTCAGGCGCTGTTGGAAGTTCATGAAGACCAGGGCATGTTTAAGGCCCAACGCATGAATGGCCCTTCGCAGGTCGTCCACTTTATGTCCCCTGCGTGTGACCAAAAGACGGTGCTTGAGGCCTGGAGGCATTCCAAGGGCAGCATCGGTCCCACCAAGTTCATCTGTCAAAACCAAAAGCAGAACTTCCTCAGCGGCACGAATGATGTGCAGAATTCCGGCACCCCTGGAACTGCTAGTACAGTGGTGATCACAATACTGCAGCGCATGAGTGCCACTCTGCATCGCTGGAGTTGACCAGCCCACAATTTGGAGGTGATCCAAAATGCGCTGTTGCATCTGACAGTCTAGATGTCACCCTCCATTCGTGCAATAATAGCTTGCCTTCTGTCAACTAAAGGAACAATGCAGGGCAATATGAGAACCCAAAAGACAGCCGCATGACAATAAATGCAAGAGAAGCAAGATGCAAAGCTTAAAATTCAATGGAGCACCTGGATCCTGTAAACAACTGTGTTTTTGTATCCTTTCCTCTATTCCAAATATTACATCACATTCAAGAGTATGGGTGCCAACTGGTGCTCGAATCCCATAAAGTATTGATGGGCGTATGCAAGCAGCCAGCCTTGCAAAAGCCAATGAGCAGCTATTGTGAGTTCATGGGAACAATGCATAAATAAGATCCTTCACAATATTTTTTCGTGTTTCAGCAGCAGAGCACAGTCAGGGTTGCCAAAATTGTGATATAGTCTTCCTCACATCCAGAAACATGTGACTATATGCTCACAATGTTGCTGGCACACAACATGGGCAAACATGTCTGGGTAGGGCTTTGTTTTCTTCCATCCTGCCGCAGCTGCTGACACAAAGCTGCAACTCAACAGGCAAACCACTTATAGGCCCATGCATGAATGCTGCAACAAGCCCCAACAGTGTGCCAGCATGATGGTGGAGACAAGCAGGAACTCACCCGCCCCAGTCTTCGCCTTTTGGCTCTTGCTCTTCTTCGTTTTCCACCCGCCTGTTGGGCCCCAACCCCACTCAGGGCCCTCCAGTTCGTGCATGGCCCCAGTGGCCTCAACACTCTCCTCCAGCTGATGGCCTGGGCCAGCCTCCTCCCGGCTCTGTGCTTCTTCTTCCCCAAACCCAGTGCCTTCCTCTTGGCCAATAGCTCTGGCCATGCCTGCCCTCTGGCCTGCAATCTCCAGTCCAGATCGCTGGTTTTGGCTGCCTTTGGTGGCCGGTTTGCCTGGGCTGAGATTTTCAGCAGCAACGCTCACGCCCACAAAGACGAAATCGGTGGCTGGGCACCACTCTCCGAGCTTGAGGATCAGCTTGGTGGTCAGAGTTGCTGACACAAGCACTGTCTGCCTGTGGATGCACTGGCTTTAGATCCTGTGCATTCCAACTTCTTTACAAGATGACTCCTGGGTAGTCCAGGACCAAAATGGGCATAGCTTAGAAACCATTGGCATCTCGTCCTATCTAAGCATCACTGTTCAATAGTGATGTGACAAGACCAATATATTTGGCCACATTGCATGCTGGGGCACACGCATAACTTCCAGCCCATGACAAACCAGTGCCCATTCACTATGTCCAAGACAAATCCCTTGGGGAAATTATGCATAGCAATTTAGTGCATGCTGCATCTCGTACCTTGCAACAACTTGCAATTTGCACTTTAAAGTACCCTATATTTTAAGGCACTTGTAAATTCAAGTACTTTGCACTTTGGCCCTGTGCTTGCAACACAAAAGTTAGAACTGTTTTGAAGTCATTGTTGTACTTTCCATTCAATGCTTCGTGTTCACTGATGCACAATGAATTGCAATTCTCTGTTTTCCACCCACTTGCCTATGGATGATGTCCCGGCCGGTGTGGTAGGTCAGCCGCTTCATATCATCTCGAAAGCGTTCAGACATCAGCTGATCCACCTGGGGATGTCAATGAATTGGATGTAACAACTGACACAATATGCTGAGTCAATGTTTTTGCACAATATACCAAAGCAATGTACAAGCTCGGTGGACGAGCACATTGTACTGGCTCGATGTACTGACACAATGCACTAGCATGATGTACTATCATCATGCATCTGCTGTACAATTCTAGCCCTTGCCCTATGCTATGCCAGAGTTTTTCACATTGTTCACGTGTCTTCAGGTACAGTTGTTGTGTTATACTGGCATCACACAGTTTGTAGCCAACCGAGGTGGCCACATACTGCAAGTAACAATAACAAGGGAAAAGCATATCACTTTGTTCCTTTTTTTGGGTGGGTGGGTGGGAGCTGGCTGTGCAATGGGCTTTCTGGGAATACAGTGAGTTGTTGCCTGAGGACGTTCACCGATGGCCAATTCTGGCAGCTTCACGCAAAGTTCCAATTGAAAGGGGGCACCAGCCCCCTTTCAACAGAAATGGTGCGGGCCTTGTCCCAGCTCACAGATAGTGCAAGGCAATTTTGTGCCCAAAGAATTGATCACAAAACAGTGAATGCACAGACTGAAAAAAGGGAGGATCCAGAGAAGGGCTTAATCTGGAGTTGTGAAGCTGCAGTGCATCGAGTTAAGTCCGACCAATGCCTGCAAACTCTACATGGATGAGAGAAGTCACTGCGAATCGACAACAGGACAAGCCAGGATTCAAAAGAAATTCCAAATCAGTTCAAGATCAAAAACAATGTAGAAGTGAGGCAAGCACATGGGCAGCTGACTATCAACCCATGTCATTGGACCCTCTGTGTCAGGATGCCAACCCCAAGAGGCACTTTGTGCCTTGGCAAGTTGAAGAAACACTTGTCGTCACTGTCGCTGTGGTAGTTGTTTACAGCCTTGTCACTAATCGTCGCTGTCTACCATTTTTCAACTCCAAGAAATGATTGTTAACATTATTCAACAGAATTGCTTTGCCTGTAGTTGCAGCAGTGCCTGTCACTTCAGGGGACTGCAATATAGATGCTCATCAAAAACTCTGGACATCAATCATCCCCTACCTCGTCCAACACCAGCATTGGGCAGTCGTGTGTCTGCAGGACGCCCGCCTTGCTGTGATCTGCTAACCTCCCTGGTGTGCCCACAACCACCAAGGGCTTCTCATGCTTCAGCGCCTCCACCTACTGGAGTAAGTGCCTTCGATCAGTTGGCCACATTCTGACAAAAAGCACTACCCTCGCACCTTCAATGCAGTCCAAAGAAAGCAACAAGGGAAACTGATGCATTGTCTATGATTGCATGCTCTCGCATGGGCACTGGCAGTGTGACTCAATTTGTCTTTCTCCTGCCAAAGGCCTTGTCAAGTTGACTGTTTCGTGAAATTCTTCAGGTAACAGGGCCCTTGTTCAATGACAGCCAGTTTCAGACACCACGCTTGTTCCCAAAACTGCCATGAATCCCCTACATGGAGCATCTACCTGCAAGTTCTGTTGCCTGACACGAAAGGAAAGAAATTTTCGCGGCAAAGGAAAGCCATAAGGTGCAATATTCTTGTTCATGATCAGGAAGTATGTCCAGCTCTTTTGCAAATTGATGCTTATATGGGGACAACAGGTTTGCTTGGAAACATTGGCACCATACACTAATCTGCCACTCCTAGCCTCATGGTGAGGTTTGGGCATTGGCTAGAGAGCAATTGGGAACTCTCGTTCAGCGAGATAGGGTGGAAACCAAACTATCCTGCAATTCACTGCAATCGATCAACAACTTAAAAAGCAATCGAGTCATGCATTGACATAGAATGGGTACATTAAAGACAGCAACACTTCCTTTGTCCACAATTAAATGATTCAATTTGTTGGTCAAGGCGTATTTGCATCAACTACTCACTAGCTTCCCCTGTTATTCGGACCACAGTATCGTACATGAATTTTTCTAACGCCCCAAAATATTTGCAGAGAATGGATACGCCATGTGCTCAAGCCCCAGCACATTGAACCAATGCCATTCCTGCCATGAATAGAAAATTCTCAAACTGTTGCTAACCCTGCCAGAATTGGGGTTTCGTAGTGGGGCCCTTTCCTGCAGACCTAAATGGTACCAGAAGGGTAGAGATGCCAATGCCACTGGGACTTAACATGGCTGTGGCCTTCTTGAAGCTGCAGGACTGCCAGTGTGGAAGGATGCCATGAATCAGGAACAATGGTAGAGAGGCATTACGTGAGCAGCCAACTGTTGGCAAAAGCACATCAATTTGTTGATCTGTGAAATGTACAGAATGAACACATTTGGTCACAGGAAAGTGGTTGCAAAGGGATCAGGACCTGCTGTTTCTGAATTCGAGGTTGTACCAGATAACTGACATTTTGCTGATGCTGTTTCTTTCGATGCTGGATAGAAGAAGTACGTGTGGATATTGCAGAGCCTGGAGCACAGAGACTCTTGTTTGGGGGTGACATCGTCTGCCCAAATGGATGAGTTGTTGACAGACATTGATTTCTCAAACTAGCAAAATCTATATTGGCTGTCAAATAGCTCACTTGCCGATTGGGGTTCGCCCCCCCAATACACTGCTGCACTTTGGAGTGCAACTCTGGGGGAACCAGGCCACGTGCGACTCTCAGAATCTGCATTGCCAGCTCCCGTGAAGGGGCAATGATCAGCAGCTGCAGGACACAGAAGCGGTTAGATCAGATAAGGAAGTTGCAGGGGTCCCCAGGATGACACAACAATCATGATCAAAAAATTGGATGGAGATGTTGTAAAAAGCCGCTTCATGGTTATCGAACGTCTTGTTTGATGACACTCTTCCCTACAGCACAACAGTAGCGTTGCACCAGTAATGGTTGCAGCAGTTCTGAGGCAACACTGTGTAATGTGTGAAGTCTGATATAGTGCCTTGAATAGACACAATATCACTTCAGGCATTTCAAGAAGCAAGTTGCAGAGAATATACCATTCTTTGCACTGCTTGTTTCATTCCAGAAAGCCCTCATGACTTGCACACTATGTCCAGTTTTGACATATGCAAAGAAACGTGTCAGAACAGGTTGTGAAGATGGAGAGAAACTGAGTGCAGAAATACCAAGGATCATGGAACAGTGCAAGCTGATCCAGTGAATGACATCAGCATGTCGCCTTTGCACACATTAGAGCTGGCATCGCCTGGAAGTCATAGGGGTATGATTGCAAACAGACTAACACTGAATACACACTTATGCTGGCAGCAGTCACTGCAGCTGGTTGCCATTCAGGGATTACAGGGTGCCCCCATGAACAGAGTTAGCTTCAAGATTTATTGCACCCCGAATCTGCAATGTTCCAAAAAGCATCAAACCATGCTGAGCACAATAGATCACTTGACACAAGTGCAACAGCAGTGATTTGTTGGCCTGAAGATGACTGGCCACGTACGTATCTTCATACTGTGGATTCATCAAGAATGACAGATTATTGATCTTGCACCAATATTGGAGATGCCAACAGACAAGCATGCCACTGATACCAAAATAAAAGAAAAGGACAAGGCAAAGAGGTAGCATGCTTACAGCAAAATCAACCAAACAATATCCATAACCAGGCCTATAAAGCACAAACAATTTTGGTGTTGCTGCCCCTGTTATGCCAGCAAGGTGGAAGGCGCATTCAATTGCTCGCCCAGTCCTTTGATGACTCTTCATGTCATTCCATTGCCTATGGTATGATACATCCTGGACACAGTGCGCTAAAAGTCTACTCAAAATAGGCAAAGACAAGAAAAAAAACAGCACAAATAAATAATTCAATACAAAAGATGCGAAAAAATCCGCCACACATACTGGGACTTCAGGACAAAGAATGGGTTAGTGATATGTTGTTGTGCAACGCCATGGATCTGTCATACAATGTTGGAAGCAAGTGGTCATCTGCACACCTGCAGCTCTGCTGGTTTCTCTCCCTCAGTGGGCAGTTGCTGATCTGCCCGCTGCACTGCGATGGACAGCAGGGGGAGCAGATATGCCAGTGTCTGCAGGACAGGATTGGCCATGTCACTCATAATTCCACCTTCTTTCAATTCTAAACACAGGGCAGGGCAGAGTTCTGTTGCCATTCTACTGGTGTCCGGCCATGAGCAAAAAGCATGAGTGCAGCATCACAGCATCCTTGTGTCTGTTCACCTTGAAGAGCTGGCCTATCACAGTAAGACAGGAAAAGATGTGGTGTGCATGTGTGTAACAAAGATTCCCAAATCGCCACAGTACAAGGCAACAAATGTAGCAATGAGCAAGCATCGATTCGACTTCACGAGGCAAAACACGAGGAAACACAAGACCAAACACTGCTACTGCACCTCCAGGCCGATGCCAGACATGAATCCTTCCATTGCATTTGCTACAGGAAAAAGCCAAAGGAAGCAAAGAAACGAAATGATCTGAGACAGAGGAAAAGAAAATGAATGCTTCTTCAGTGCGCCTCAGCCATTTGGGAAAGCAGGGCGCAGGAGGGAATGGATGGGACATGGCGATGTGCATCTGCTAAACAACACATCCTTCTAAGATGTGGCAAAGCACAGTCCACTCCCCGTCAACACTATGATTGCATTCAAAATGCTGATTTTGGCCATGCAGTACAGCCTGTCTGGGAATGGGCAGCTGCAACTCTCTCACCTTTCCAGATCCCGTGAAGCACTGCAGTGCACAGTCGAGCTGATCAAGCAAGATGGGGATGGAAGCGGCTTGGATCGGGGTTGGGGAATTGATGCCTAGAGACCCCAGATTTGCCTGCGTGTGGAAGAACATCTGAGTCTGGGATGCCTCACAGCTAGAGTTTGGAATTCGAAGGTCAACACTCTCAGAAAAAAGGTGAGCTCATGACTTCCAAGTGTGGTGGCGCATCCTCTTGAATCCTTGCAACTGGGCCAAAACGTGCTGTCAATGGTCCAACTTTTGTGAAGAATACATTAGTTCATATTGATGCTGACATGGGGATTAACATCATCAGTAATACTATCTTCTTGCATTTCTGCAGAGTACTGATAAACTGTTTCAAATAACACTGTTAATGCTGTTGCGCATTCCTTTGCCTTAATGGCATATGGCCTTGCTTGTAATGGTGTGTTTGGTTTTCCACATCCCCAAGGACCACAATGGCCTCTCCGAACTCAACCACCCCTCCTCAACCCAAAACACATCAAAGACGTCCGGCACATACCCACATATCACATTATCAAGAAAATTTGGTACAAACACCCCTTTGAGACTCAAGGTCATTTTTTCCTCCATGGAAAAGAGTCTCGCACGCACTTGCTTAGCACAGGTGCCTTTTGTATGGCCTGTTTTTCTTCCTCTTTGCAAGTCATGCCCCATCCGTGGTATGTCCATTGTGTTCAATATCCTGGGCGCCAGATATGTGGGGCTGTGCCACCTAGCAAAAGAGAGCGCGAGGCGATGTAAAGCCGCCCAAATTTGTTCGAATCCAAAAGCATGCTGAGTCTCAAGAAAAAGAAAGAGAAGGTTTGCAGCGTTGACTAGTTGTGGCCCTGTTGGGGTCGTTCAGGGCAATTGGGCTCGATGAGTGGATCACGGTGAGGTGGGGAACGGCGCTGTAAGATTTGTTGCAAAGTCGATAACTTTGTATCAAAAGGGATCCCAACTCTGATGGCAAACTCTCCACCAGGACATTGACATGTGATGTAATGTGCGGGAATAAATAAAAAAGGATTCAACAAGGCACCCCCAACACTCCCCGCCGGCCCAACCTCACCGTGATCCGCTCGTCGAGCCCCATTGCTCCGAACGACCCGGACGCGCCCACCCCGCCCCCATCGATCGCCACCAGCCGCGTCACCCGCGGCACGCTCATCTCCTCCACCGACCGACCGCCCAAGACCTCCACCTCCGGCGGCACATCTCCACCGGCGGCCGCGATGCGCGCCTGCCGGCCTGGCCCTCGATCGCAGCCCGCCCGATGGCCGTAGGCATGCAATGCGGCGGCGCCATCGAGGGGGCGGGCGGGAACGGCCAGCGGGTTGGGGTGGGGGTGAAGGGCCGCGGAGCAGAGGCGGGGCAGGCGGCGCATGGGAGGGGGGGGAGGGGGGGGCGCTGGGAGGCGCCTCTTGCAGTGCGGGACTTGGACGAGTGCAGCGGAAGCAGAAGTTGCTGGTGTGGGGTGCCGCGCCTTTTCAAACCCTTCCGCTTGGGAACGTCACGTGTTGCGGTTACCCAAGTACCCTGGCCGCGCCAGACGGATGCAGACCAGGCCTGTCCTGCTGCAGAGCCGTAATTGCCATTAAATCTCGGGGGCCTTGCCCACCCGTTTTTAACGATTCTTCACCTTTTCCAGTTTATCAATCGGGACGGGATGGCGCACTCAGGGCGCTTGACCAAATCTCAGCAACTAACAAACACTCAGACACACTCTGTTTCAGGCACCTTTGAGTGCCCTCACACCGGTTTGCCAAATGTCTCTCCTTACATTAAAATCAAGCCAAATATCTTGGGTCGAGGTGGGCGGGAGCGAAAAACGAGATAGCCACAAGCTCGTTTCGCCAACCTTAAGTCCCAAGTTCCCCGTTTGCCCGGATCACTGTGAACCAACTTTCCAGTGGTGCAAACTGCAACTCAGTTCGGTTCCTCGGCTTTATGACCAACCGTGCCTGGTTCGCCAAGGCGCTACCCATAACTTGACCACAACTTTAAGAGTTATGCCAAACTCTCACTCACTGAGCCACTACTTTCCAAGCTTGAGAAACGGTAGCGCCATCCATTCTAAATCCAAGTGCACCAAGTACTAAAACCTCTGCTGGCCGTTCAAAGGGTCCCGCCCAACGGCCCTGATCCCGATTTAAACATATTCACTGCATTACATTACGTAAATTTTGCGACCAGCCGTCACAACGGGCTGATGGGCATCGAATGCGGTCCCGATTGTCGGGAGACACCGCGGTCGCCTCCTTCCCCGCAGGTGAAACGGGATGCGGCACACACTGTCCGAGGACAGTTGGGAAACAAAGACACACGCACAGCAGCGATAGTGGGCCCAGAAGAGTGTGTGTACAAGAAATTTCCATGCGTATTTATACTTGAAAAGGGTGTCCCAATCCCCGCCTCCTAGCCACCTTTGGAGAAGCCTCCAAAGCTACAACCCCCTGAACTTTTTCTCTGATGCCCCAAGTTCTCCAACACTTGTCCCCAACATGGTACAACCCATTGTACATTGCATACAACTTGCTCAATTTCAATCCCAACAAGCGATTGCAATCCCCAACAAGCAAATCCAATCCCCAACAAGCAAGTGTTGTCCCCAGCAATCGAGGTTAGTCCCATGCAATCACATTCAATCCCAAGTACATCCCTCCATAATGATCCAATAATCAAATCAATCAATGAATTAGTAAAAAATGATTGTTGGGCCAAAAGAACACCTGTTGCGCGGCAGCGCGCAACAGGGGGTGAGAGAGAGCTACCGGTGTGGGCGCTCGAAGGCCATTAAGCCGGGACCCAGCACCGGACCCCAAGTACTACGTACTTGGGGCCACACCCGAGCGCCGATACCTGGGGGTACCCCAGGTACCGGTGGCCACCGCCCTAGTGCCGGTCTAAACACTCTAACCCCTACACTATCGTAACCGTAGCCCTCTTGGGCCGGTTACTGTAGGGGAGTTGTCGATACCCCCGGGTACCGGTTAGTGCGGTACATCACTCCCCCCCCCCCTTTAGTCGCGACCCGCGACGTCAAACCAGAAGCTGGCAAGCCGACGCAAGAAGCGGGAGGTACGGTGGGAGGGGAGACGTCGAGAGCCCGCCGAAGGGACGGGGGATGAAGGGAGTGGCGGGGGCGACGAACGCCATCGAGGAGGTGAGGCGGAACGAAGATGGAGGGCCACGAGAAAATCCCAGGGATACAATGGGATGTGGCAGCGAAGGGGAGCGCCCCCGCAACGATATAATATAATCAAATGGGATGGGGCCGTGGATGCCGAATGCGGACATCGGCGGCAGGATAGGTGAGACCGCGGAGAAACGCCCGGCGGGGAAACGGCCAGGCAGAAGATACAACTGTACCCCGGTAAGAACGGGGTTGGGAGAGGCACACCAGAAGGGGAGGCCAGCGGAAGCTGCCCCCCCAAAATGGGCAAGAGGCGTAACAAGGGGCAATGCACAAGGAAGGGGGTGACATGTCCAGTGTAGCTCCCCTCGGATGGTCCATGAAAAATCCGGCATCGCGTGCCTCTAGACTCGTACCAAGCCATGGGAGGCCACTCGGGCACCCTATAGGGGCCGCAGTAGTACCCAAGGCGCGCCGAAAACCCCTGGGCGGTCAGGCAGGGGAGGGCAAGGAAAAGAGGGGAAGAATGGCCCCAGAATACCCCCACAGGGGGAAGAGCAAGCATCCCGCAGAGCCAACCCGATCAGAAGAGTGAACCCGCGAGCGTCCCGTAAATGTCCCCTGGCCCGGAGACCAGCGGGGAAGGTGGAGCAGGCTCATCCAGCCGGAGACGAGGGCTGCAAAACAAGGCACAGAAAGAAGAGGCTCAAGAGGAGCATGTGGACCAGCCAAGGGCTAGGTCAAAGACAACAGAGGGCGCCGAAGCGGCGGCTGAAATGCCTCCTTAGGAGGGCGAATGAG